CTGTCAAATTCATTCCCTTGATTATTCTTGATTCTTGAATTTAAATGTCTTGAATAGGTACGGGCACTGAATCCTTTGAATGTCTGCCCGTGCCTCTTCATTTGCCTTTGCTCACATCCATTGCTACTCGTGCCTCTTGATTAGTTGAAATTCTTTGACCATTTGACCAGTCTATGTGTCACGACACGTCATCTTCATACTACTTTAATATGTAAACTCAATTTTCCCAATACAGATAGTCCCCCCACTTGCCATTTATTCATCAATTGAATATTTGGGAAGTGGATTTCATTAAAACGGGAATTTTTGTCATCATAAATGCTGTGACAGAATTGACGCTTCAATTGTCACTTCCATTTAATGCGTTTCACACGTGTCACCTTCTTATTGGTTCTGCAATTTTGCAATATTTTACAATAACAACAAATCGAGTTAATTTCACAAGTGGGGTCAGAGAGGATAGTGTATACCAGATCTTATACTTACCTTGTCGAGATAAAGAGACTGTTTCAGATACACCCTTAGTTTAGGAACTGTTTCTTTGTTACTATGATTAATACTTATAATAGATACATCAAAATTAGTAGTTCATGATCCAATCAAATACGGTCAAATAAATAGCACAAAGGAGTAAGGATAATACCTCGAGATGATACCTCAAAAGTTATCACTAAGACGAACAAATTTGGTAACTGTTTAACCAAAATATGAAATTTTGAATAAAGCTATAATTTAGAAGAACAGGGGTTACTGATAATCGCTAGAATGTGTAAAAGAAAGTAATTTGGATAGCCAGAATATAATTGAATAAAATAAGTAAACCAAAGTATATTCAGATGATCTTTTTCGTGTCCCTACAATTGTTTAGCCCCCTCCTATTTATAGCTATTTTTGAGATATATGTCTTGCCTTTGTCATAACAAGGCCATTATGGGCAATTAATGACATTGAATGCTACGTTACATAATCATTATATTCAAGACAGATTCTCTAACTTTTTCAGCATTTAAGGCCTACCAAATATTGTATTTGGACTCTCATATGCTGTCAAATTCATTCCCTTGATTATTCTTGATTCTTGAATTTAAATGTCTTGAATAGGTACGGGCACTGAATCCTTTGAATGTCTGCCCGTGCCTCTTCATTTGCCTTTGCTCACATCCATTGCTACTCGTGCCTCTTGATTAGTTGAAATTCTTTGACCATTTGACCAGTCTATGTGTCACGACACGTCATCTTCATACTACTTTAATATGTAAACTCAATTTTCCCAATACAGATAGTCCCCCCACTTGCCATTTATTCATCAATTGAATATTTGGGAAGTGGATTTCATTAAAACGGGAATTTTTGTCATCATAAATGCTGTGACAGAATTGACGCTTCAATTGTCACTTCCATTTAATGCGTTTCACACGTGTCACCTTCTTATTGGTTCTGCAATTTTGCAATATTTTACAATAACAACAAATCGAGTTAATTTCACAAGTGGGGTCAGAGAGGATAGTGTATACCAGATCTTATACTTACCTTGTCGAGATAAAGAGACTGTTTCAGATACACCCTTAGTTTAGGAACTTTTTCTTTGTTACTATGATTAATACTTATAATAGAACATCAAAATTAATAGTTCATGATCCAATCAAATACGGTCAAATAAATAGCACAAAGGAGTAAGGATAATACCTCGAGATGATACCTCAAAAGTTATCACTAATAAAATATTAGGAATTAGAGACGAACAAACTTGGTAACTGTTTAACCAAAAAATAGAATTTTGACTAAAGCTATAATTTAGAAGAACACGGGTTACTGATAATCGCTAGAATGTGTAAAAGAAAGTAATTTGGATAGCCAGAATATAATTGAATAAAACAAGTAAACCAAAGTATATTCAGATGATCTTTTTCGTGTCCCTACAATTGTTTAGCCCCCTCCTATTTATAGCTAATTTTGAGATATATGTCTTGCCTTTGTCATAACAAGGCCATTATGGGCAATTAATGACATTGAATGCTACGTTACATAATCATTATATTCAAGACAGATTCTCTAATGTTTTCAGCATTTAAGGCCTACCAAATACTGTATTTGGACTCTCATATGCTGTCAAATTCATTCCCTTGATTCTTCTTGATTCTTGGATTTAGATGTCTTGAATATGTACGGGCACTGAATCCTTTGAATGTCTGCCCGTGCCTCTTCCTTTGCCTTTGCTCACATCCATTGCTACTCGTGCCTCTTGATTAGTTGAAATTCTTTGACCATTTGACCAGTCTATGTGTCACGACACGTCATCTTCATACTACTTTAATATGTAAACTCAATTTTCCCAATACAGATAGTCCCCCCACTTGCCATTTATTCATCAATTGAATATTTGGGAAGTGGATTTCATTAAAACGGGAATTTTCGTCACCATAAATGCTGTGACAGAATTGACGCTTCAATTGTCACTTCCATTTAATGCGTTTCACACGTGTCACCTTCTTATTTGTTCTACAATTTTGCAGCACTTTTTAGGCTCTCTTTTCGGCTTCCCTGCAAGTGTCAGTTATCATTATTATGGTCCTTCCATCATTGCACTTTTCCCTTTGACGGTTGCTCATCAGTATAAACATAACTTCTTTTTTTGTCTTTACTTCATAAAGTTTACTGAACACTTTATTTCTCAAATCTCTGTTTGTTTCTTCTTCGTATCATCTTTTACACATATGTTTCTATTTATGGCTCTAATTTCAATCCATCTTTTTATCAGGATTTGCTATTCGAGGAGTTACTGCCGAGGCAGTTGCGGCTTCACGTGCCTCTTCGGGAACCCGTATCTCCTTAGAAAGGGCTCAAGAAATAGTCTTGGGTTCTTCGTCGAAGAGAAAAGCTGTTGAAGAAGAAGATTCCGAAGAAGAGGAAGATGGGAGCTCTTTGGTGACAAGGCCTCGAGCTCGAAGACGCATAATTTCCGATGACGAAGCAAAGGCATCTCCCCGTCATTCCGTTCCTCTTTCTAAGTCCATTGAAGCCCCGGTGGTAATTCCTGACGGCGACGTTGACCCTGGTGATACTCGTGAGTCCATTGAACAGCTTTTTATTAGCGGTTTTGATAGTGAAAGTTTAGGGCCAGTTTTAGATGAAACACCCCTAGCCTCTTTTTCAACTCCCGTGCCTGTGATTCCTTCGTTGCCACCCCCAGCTGTTACTTTTCATTCCTCAACTGTTCTTACCTCGACTGTTCTTACCTCTTCTACCACTCCTCCTTTGACAATTCCACCTCCAATCGTTCATCATACTGATGTAGGTTCTTCAAGTAAAAGTGTCGCTATGAGTAGGGTGGTTATTGAAGTTCCTGCTGAGAGCAGCCTTTTGAGGAAATCAGGTCAGGCAGATGTATGGCTGGAGCCTTTGATTGGCCTAATTGAAAAAGCAAAGATGGAGAGCCATAGTTCCTTGACTCTGATGAACGATATTGTGCATGCTACCTTGAAGCTATTTACATTCTTTTTTGTTACTTTGTAATTTTTTATCTTTGGGATTCAAATTTCTCTCCCCCCCCCCTTTTTTAGACCAATCTTATCGGTACAGAAATGATGAAGAGAATCTCCCTCTTGGAGCAGATAGCACGCGATTCTTAGTTAGAGGCATTCAATTGGAAGGAGCAGTTCGAGAGTTTACAAATTAATGTAGAATTCTTACAAGAAAGCAAGAGTACCTTAGAGCAGCAGGTGCGAGCTTTAACCTCAGAATTAGCAGTTCCAAAAGCTTCCTCAAGCCAAACAGAAAAAGAAAAAGAGCGCCTCGAGTCTTCCTTCTCAGAACAACTATCCAAAGCCAGTGAAGAGATCAGAGAGTTGAAGGTTCTATTGAGTCAAAAAGAGACTTACTCTTGGGAGCTCGTGCAAAGCTTAACTCAAGCACAAGAAGACCTTCGAGTCTCTTCTGATAAGGTGCGTGCTTTAGAAAGCTCCCATGCCTCTCTTCAAATTTCTTACAACTCTGCCCTGACTGAAAATGAGGAGCTAAAGAATGAGATTGCTTATTGGGAAAGGGATTATGAGACCCTTGAAGAGAAATCTGCTATTGAGGCAAGCTGGGCGTTTCTGAACTCACGCCGTGATACCCTGATTGAAGTTGGCCAAGAAAATTTCAACTTAGAATCTGAGTTGGCTAAGATCAATGAAACCATTGAGAAGGCTCAGCAAACTCAAGATTTTCCTTCTCCTGTGGTCGAAGCTTCCGTGAATGTTGAAGTTAATATGGGTATCTCAACTCTTCCAAGCCCTATCGAGCCTATTGCTGTGAGTCAAGATCAACCCGCAACTGTTGATGCACCTGCCCAAGTTGAGCCTGTGTGACGACCCAAAGGGGTCATCACCTGTTTTCTTACCCATTCTGTACTTCCGAGGCCTTGAAAACCTCATTTAGAGTTTTCTCGATTTGCGTGCGCAGTCCGGGCACGTAGCCGGAAGGCTTAAATATGAATTCTGTGAGAAAAATGCTAAATTTTGATATTAAATTGGATAAATTTGACTTCGGTCAACATTTTGGGTAAACGATCCGGACCCGTGATTTGACGGTCCCGGAGGGTCCGTAGGAAAATATGGGACTTGGGCGTATGACCGGAATCGAATTTCGAGGTCCCAAACCCGAGAAATGAATTTTTGTGTGAAATTGTTTTCTGGAAATAATTAAGGAAATTGGAAACGGAATTTGATTAAAAGACTATGGTATCGGGCTCGTATTTTGGTTCCGGCACCCGGTACAAGTCCTATACATGGTTTAAGCGTTTTCTGTAAAGTTTGGTTGAAAACGGACGTCGTTTGACGTGTTTCGGACTTAAAATGGAAAAAATGATGTTTTATGAAAATTTGGAAAAAACCATGAGTTTTGAGGCTTGATTCGATGTATATGATGTTATTTTGGCGATTTGATCGCGCGAGTAAGTCCGTAGGATGTTTTTGAGGTTGTGTGCATATTTGGTTTGGAGCGACGAGGGCTCGGGTGAGTTTTGGATAGGTGTCGGAGTGCATATTTAAACTTAATAAAAATCTGGTATGCTTCTTCTGTGATTTTCGCATTTGCGTAGATGTGTCTCGCAATTGCGAGCTCGCAAATGCGAGCTTTGTATCGCAATTGCGAAGCCTGGGACTTGGCCTACTGATTGCAAATGCGATCTTGTTTCTCGCAAATGCGAAACTCAATGGGTCGCAAATGCGGCCTTTTCATAGCAAATGCGAGGCCTGGCAAAATGGGAAGGGTTCGCAAATGCGAACCCAGCTTCGCATTTCGGGGTTCGCAATTGCGAACCCCAGTTCGCAATTGCCATATCTGCAGCCCAGCAATTTTCATACTTAGTCGAATTTTAGGCCATTTTTCACCCCACTTTCAAAATACAACTCCTTAGGCGATTTTTCAAGAACAAGTTTCATCCCAAATTATTTGTAATTCGATTTATACTTAATTCTTTCACTCATTAACATCATTTAACATGTTTTCCACTTAGAATCAATGATTTTCATGGGTGAAATCGGGGGTTTTGGGTAGAATCTAGGTTTTTCAAAAATTGGGGATTTGGACCTCAATTTGAGGTCCGATTTCAAAACAAATTACATATTTGAGTTCGTGGGGGAATGGGTAACCGGGTTTTGGTTCGAACTTCGGGTTTTGACCACGTGGGCCTGGGGGCGATTTTGGAATTTTTGGGAAAAACTTTGAAAAATTCATTTTTATGCATTCAAATTGATTCATTTAGCGTTTATTAAAGTAATTAAGTGACTTGTGACTAGATTCGAGCGGATTGGAGGTGGAATCACGGGGTAAAGCTATAGTTGAGGCTTGAGTTGAGTTCAAAGCATCGAGGTAAGTGTTTGGTTTAACCCTAGCTTGAGGGATTAGGAGTTGAGTCATAATTGCTACTTGTTTATGTTGAGTACGACGTATGGGCATGGTGACGAGTATCCATGCGTCGGTGTCAAGCATGACCGTGAGTCTTAATTTGATAATTGTGTACCCTTGTTTGATCCTATGAACGTTGTGACTAAATATTGGTATTAGTTGTGCCAGGAAGAAGTTGAATATGATTGGTTATAGCTGACTCTCCCTTGTCGGGATGTTTGACTTGTTGTTATAGTTCCCTTGCCGAGAAGAGTATTAATTTGATTGTTCCCTNGCTTTAACCTCGGAATTAGCAGTGGCAAAAGCTTCCTTAAGCCAAACAGAAAAAGAAAAACGAGCATCTCGAGTCTTCCTCTCAGAAACTATCCAAGGCCAGTGAAGAGATCAGAGAGTTGAAGGTTCTCTTGAGTCAAAAAGAGACTTACTCTGGGGAGCTCGTGCAAAGCTTAACTCAAGCACAAGAAGACCTTCGAGTCTCTTCTGATAAGGTGCGTGCTTTAGAAAGCTCCCATGCCTCTCTTCAAATTTCTTACAACTCTGCCCTGGCTGAAAATGAGGAGCTAAATAATGAGATTGCTGATTGGGAAAGGGATTATGAGACCCTTGAAGAGAAATGTGCTATTGAGGCAAGCTGGGCGTTTCTGAACTCACGCCGTGATACCCTGATTGAAGCTGGCCAAGAAAATTCCAACTTAGAGTCTGAGTTGGCTAAGATTAATGAAACCATTGAGAAGGCTCAGCAAACTCAAGATTTTCCTTCTCCTGTGGCCGAAGCTTCCGTGAATGTTGAAGTTGATATGGGTATCTCAACTCTTCCAAGCCCTATCGAGCCTATTGCTGTGAGTCAAGATCAACCCGCAACTGTTAATGCACCTGCCCAAGTTGAGCCCGTTGCCGTTGATGCGCCTTCTTCAGTTCCCTCATCTTCTTAGTGATAAATTTAAACATTTTGAATTCTCTCCTTTTTGCAGGTACCTTTTTGGAAGATTATATTTAAAACCGTAGGTTTCATTTGAGGGTTTATTTTGGAAACGCAAGTCCCCAAGTCATTTTATGGGGCAATCTGTATAAGCAATTCGTAGTTTTTCGACTAAGTTCTTACTTAGTCTTAAACTTTAATATTTTAGAAGTTTTCTCGTTACTATCTTGAACTTCTATTTAATTATTCTTGCCTTTATTTCTAAGGACTTATAGAATAATCTGCATTTTTATTCTTTAGAAAATGCTTCTGTTAACTTCATGAATAACTAAATTAAACATGAATTTTATAAAAGAGGGCCCTTTTATATTTCGACACTTAATGAAGAATACGTCTCAACAATGGTGTTAACATACGATAAAGAAATAGGAACACACATGTTTCTTTTGAAATAACATTGACAAGTTTTTATTTGAAATTTTTCTAGTTTTGAATAATTCTTTACATGTATTCGAATTACATCTATAACTTTCTCGTAACTGTTTTTCTTGTAACAGATTTATAATCAGATTACAAACACGAGGTTTTTCTTCATAACCCGTTTCAGAATAATAAAAACACGAGGTTTTTCTTTATAACTCGTTTTAGTACATGGCTTTTACCCTAACTACAGTAAGGTTTTCTTTGGCCTTGGCTCGTGACTTTGTGACTTTTACTCTGCACTTGACTTTTTCAGGCTTGATTTTTCCTCAATCTTCTTTGCCTTCTTTATAACACATACTCATGTGTATTATGTAGTCCCCCAAGTGTTTGAGCGTTGAAGTATGAAGCCTCGAGCACTTGATTGTTTCTCTCATTTGGTCCTTTTCCTAAAAAGGAAAAACCATACGGGACTCGGAGGTGCGATTTTAGATGAAGACTGCTTAACCCGTTTGAATTTCTATCAGAATAATTGTAACCCTAGGCCAGGAATTTTAGTTTATTCCATGTGCCTTACAGGTCGTGACTCATCATTTAGTACGGGTTAGCTTTTTTGCCTATCATCTAAAATCGTTAGTAAAATTTTAACAATTCAAAAATAAACTTTAAAAGATGGGTACCTAACCGTGGGTATTCCTTAGAAATAGTATCTCTTCAGGTGAACAACGTTCCAATGCGAAGGTAGCACTTTGCCATCCATTGTTTCCAACTCATATGCTCCTTTGCCTGCAATACCACAGATCCTATAAGGTCCTTCCCATGCGGGACTTAATTTTCCCGTATTAGCTGTCTTTGTAGATTGAAAAATCTTTTTGAGCACAAAATCCCCAATTTTGAAAAATCTGAGGCGTGCTTTCCGGTTGTAGTACCGTTATATGACTTGCTTTTGTGCTGCCATTCTTACTAATGCTGCTTCCCTTCTTCCTTCAAGTAAATCGAGGCTTACACGCATTTCTTCGTTATTAGACTCTTCTGTTGCATGTGCAAACCTCGTACTTGGCTCTCCTATCTCAACTGGAATTAAAGCTTCTGCTCCATAAACCAATGAAAATGGTGTTTCTCCCGTACTTGTTTTTGTTGTTGTGCGATATGCCCATAAAACACCAGGTAACACTTCTGGCCAATTTCCTTTTGACTCTTCTAAACGCTTCTTTAAATTATTGATAATAACCTTGTTTGTTGATTCTGCTTGCCCATTACCCACCAGATGGTAAGGTGTAGATGTAATCCTTTTAATCTGCCAGCTTTGAAAAAATTCTGTGATTTGAGCTCCTATAAATTGAAGGCCATTATCACATACGATTTCCTTTGGTACACCGAATCGGCATATGATATTCCGCCAAATAAAATCTCCGACTTCCTTTTCTCGTACCTGTTTGAATGCTCCTGTCTCTACCCATTTGGTAAAATAATCAGTGAGTACGAGCAGAAATTTTACCTGTCCTTTCGCTTGTGGCAATGGACCTACGATATCCATTCCCCATTTCATAAATGGCCACGGTGCGATGACCGGATGTAATAACTCCGTGGGTCTATGCATATTGTTACCGTACCTTTGACATTTATCACATTTAACCACGAAACTTTCTGCTTCTTCTTCCATTTTAGGCCAGTAATAACCTGCCCTAATTAAGGTTCTTACTAGCGATCTTCCTCCGGCATGATTCCCACAATGCCCCTCGTGTATTTCCCTCATTACGTACTCCGTTTGAGAAGGTCTGAGGCATCTGGCTAAGGGGCCACCAAACATTTTACGATATAGGTTGCCCTGGTTTAAACAGTACCGAGCAGCCTTTTTTCGAAGCGCATAAGCTTTTTTCTTGTCATCAGGGATGGTTCCATACTGCAAAAAAGCAACAATCTCGTTCCTCCAATCCCAAGTTAAATTATTAAAATTTACCTCATTCTTGTCAGGATCGAGAACTGAATGGAGTAAATGAACAACCAAGGCGCTTGCATCACTTGCCACGTCAGCCGCAGATGCGAGATTAGCTAAGGCGTCTGCTTCGAGATTTTCATCCCTTGGTATTTGCATAACTTTCCAGGTTTGAAATTGCTTTATCAATTCTCGCACCTTTCTAAATACTGTTGCATCCTTGTTTCCCTGGCAGTATAAGTCCCCAGCATTTTATTAACCACGAGTTGTGAATCGCTTTTGATTATAATTTGACTTATGCCAAGTTCCCATGTCAATTCTAAACCTGCAATCACAGCCTCATACTCTGCCTCATTATTAGTTATAAAATAACATTTGATAGCTTTTCGAATGGTTTCACTCGTAGGTGGTACCAAAAAAATCCCTAAACCTGCACCTTTTACGTTAGATGAACCATCAGCGAATAAAGTCCAAGTTCCTGGATTAGCTCCATTGAGCACCTGTAATTCTTTTTTTGCTTCTAATTGCATCCCTTGGCTAAAATTAGCCACGAAATCAGCTAACACTTGTGATTTTATAGCAGTTCTAGGTTGGTACGTGATTTCATATTCACTTAACTCTATAGCCCACTTAGCCAACCTACCTGATAACTCTTGCTTATGTAATATAGTACGTAAAGGGTATGCAGTTACTACAGCTATAGGATTACACTGAAAGTAAGGTCTTAGTTTCCTAGATGCCATGATTAATGCAAGTGCAAGCTTTTCTAATTGAGGATACCGCGTCTCCGCATCTAACAAAGACTTACTTCATAATAAATAGGGGATTGTTTACCTTGTTCTTCTCGAACCAAAACAACACTTACCGCTACTTCTGAAACAGCAAGGTAAATGAGTAGTCTTTCCCCATCCTTTGGTTTTGCTAGCAAAGGTGGGTTTGATAAGTATGTTTTCAAATTCCTGAGCGCCTGTTGACATTCCTCATTCCATTCAAAATGATCCTGCTTCTTAAGAGCTGAGAAGAATTTAAAGCACTTCTCTGATGATTTAGAAATGAATCTTCCCAAGGCTACAATCCTCCCTGTTAATCTTTGAACTTCTTTCTTGCTCGAAAGTATATCAGGGATTTCTTCAATGGCCTTAATCCGTGCAGGATTCACTTCAATACCACGATTAGAAACAAGAAAACCCAAGAACTTACCTGATGCAACACCGAATGCACATTTTTCGGGATTTAACTTCATATTAAATTTCCGCAAAATTTTAAACGTTTCAGTTAGATGCGATATATGGTCTCCTGAATGCTGAGTTTTAACGAGCATATCATCTATATAGACCTCCATAGTTTTTCCCAAATGCTCTTGAAACATTTTGGTAACTAACCTCTGATACGTTGCTCCTGCATTCTTTAGACCAAAAGGCATTACTTTATAAGAGTAAGTCCCCCTGTCTGTTATGAATGAAGTTTTTTCTTCATCACTCGGATCCATTTTAATCTGATTGTAACCTGAATATGCATCTAAAAAACTTAACAACTCATGCCCTGCAGTAGCATCAATTAGTTGATCTATATGAGGTAATGGAAAAGAGTCTTTAGGACAAGCTTTGTTAAGATCTGTATAGTCTACACAGACTCGCCATTTACCGTTCTTTTTAGGTACCACAACAGTGTTAGCTAGCCATTCAAGATACTTTACCTCATGAATAGACCCATTTTTTAACAATTTGTGCACCTCATCCTGAATCACCTGATTTTTGAAAGTGCCCTGCTTTCTTTTCTTTTGCTGGATAGGTGGATGAGATGGGTCTTCATTCAACTTATGAGTCATTACTTCCGGTGGTATACCTGTCATATCAGAATGGGACCAAGCAAAACAATCTGCGTTAGCTTTTAAAAATTCAATCAACTTATGTTTCATATCCGGGTTGAGATTGGCTCCTATATACACTTTTCTTTCTGGCCAGTGTATAAACAAAACCACTGCCTCCAGCTCTTCTATCGTCATTTTGATGTTTTCATTTTCTTCTGGTTCTTGAATGGAATCGGGCCTTGAGTCCGCATCTGTTTGCCCTTGTTCAGTTGAGGTTGATGTCATGTTATCCTCAACTGAATTCTGTAATTGCTATTTCTCTTCGCCCTTCGCACTTAAATTCGCCACGGAGTTGATAGATGTCTGTTGGTCTCCCCTGATTTGACATATTCCCCATGGCGCTGGAAATGTAATGACTTGATGCAAGGTTGATGGAACAACATCCATTTCATGGATCCATGGCCTCCCAAGAATTATGTTGCAAGCCATTTCCATTTCCACTACCTGAAATTTTGTGTCTTTGACAACGCCTTCTGCGAATGTAGTAAGCATCACCTCCCCTTTCGTTACAACACTGGAATTATCAAATCCTGATAAAGTATGCACTTTCGGTACCAATTTATCTTCTGCTTGCATCTCGTGTAGTACTCGTACCAAAATAATGTTCACGGAACTAACTGGATCAATTAAAACTCATTTCACGTTAGTGTCATGTACAAGTAAAGATATTACCAATGCGTCGTTATGTGGTGTTAATAGACTCTCGGCATCTGCAGCGGGTACTGGAGAGTACCGGTCTATGTGTTGCATTGCATACTATTAATTGTCATTTATCTACTTATCTGCT